ATTTCAAAATGGTATTTATTACAGACCTTGTCGTGCGGATTTCTTCTTCTAAATCCATTAACAACTAGTAAGGCAAATAATTCAACACCAAGTTTCAAGAGTTCAGGGGGAAGATTATCTTCTGAGGAAAAAAAAAAAATCTGCCTTGGAACAAACTTGAGAAAAATCAGCGCTAAAAACACGCTTTTGCTGCCACCAAGTGGCGCTTTTCAGAATCGCTTCTGAATGTCACCCAGGGTGTGCTCACCCATCTCCCCCTCCTTTCATTCCCTTACACACCACCTTTGGCCCTGTAGGTAAACAATACAGCATATTGTTCGAGTGTGGTCACCACTCAGCCCTCCTCTTAACTTAGTTGATTGCTTTGCCCCTTTCTCTTGGAGCATTTTCCCTTTTCTCTGCCAAGATATAGTTAATTAAATACTGATTGAATGAGAGGAAAAAGGACAATCGCTGTTTGAAAGCAACACAAAACCAAAACACTATAGCAGCAGGTCACCGTGTTCTGAGAAGGCAGGACAGGAGGTTTACCTCAGAGCCCCAGGTCTTCTGATTGGAAAGTGCAACCACATGATTTGGGCTATGAAAGGATAAGTCCCAGATAAATCCACGAGGACAGAAATTGAGACAAAAGATAACTGAATTGCTCTATAGTGAGTCAGAAGAATTCTGGAAGTTAGTAGGGGCACTCCAGAGAGTCAGCACCTGACTCTTGGAGGAGGAAATGGAATGTTTCAGGGGTCCTAAGACTCAAAGGAAACTGTATTAGAACCATGAGGTCTCCCCCCACCCACCCACAGCCCAGTCCACAGCCCGCTTCCTGGGGGCCACCTGTGCTATGTCATGCTCTCCAGACCACCGTCCCTGCAGCACTCTGCAGCCCCCTACTGCAGGGGCTCTGCTTCAGGTTCTGGTCCTAACATGAGCATTAAAACTCAAATCCCCAAGTCACAGCCTTTGAGAACCTCTCCATCAGCTTACTGCTCTGACTTCTAAGTCCTTCTTCATTTGACATCTGAGATTTCTTTCTTACCTTTGGGTAAGCTCAGGTTTGCCTTTGAGAAAAAGAGTATCAGAAAATGAATGAGCTAATGAATTAATAGAGTCTATCAGACTGCACTGTATTTTCCAACATTTCCCAGGACACTACAGAGGAGAGTTCGGCTTACCTCCTCGGCTTCCTTGTAAAAAGGAAGATGTTGATAAAGTGTCCAGATGTCAAACTCTGCCCATGCTGAGAAACTTCTCAGCAGCAGGACTCTCCACTATCATCCCAGGCGCCTACATACGCCGAGCTACCAGCTTCATCATGCTGCATTCCCCACACTCGCAGGAAGCATCCTCCCTGCATCCCTTGGTCAGAGCCCGAAAATGCGAAGCCAAGCTAAGTGAAATAAGTCAGAGGAAGAAAGACACACACCAGGTGGTTTCACTTGTATGTGGAATCCAGAGAAACAAAGGAAGTGACAACACTGAATGTAGAGGTCAGGAACTGGCCACTGAGCAGGTTTTCTGATCCCATGCAGACCGGGTGAAGGAGGAGTCAGAGTCCTCAGTGGTTTTTTGCAGGTCTTTTATTGGGGTTCAGCGGGTATGTGGCAGGCAGGAGTGCTGGGGGGCCGGGAGGCTGGCAGTCCTCCCAGCCACCAGCAAATCCTCACTCTCTCTGGGCTCTCTGGCGTTCTCTGCTTCTGCTTCTTGGCTTCTCTTTTGGCTTCTCTTTCGGCTTCTCTTTCAGCTTCTGCTGGCGTCCCCGTGACGCCGCCCTTAAAAGCCCTTTCTCAGCCCAGGTGAATCCCATCTACTTATGCCCACACCCTACTCCAGGTGCCCGCCATCAGGCATGCATTCAGGACCACAAGGATCCATCATCTATCCTGATGGTGGGAGGGCAGAAAAGCCTGACATTTTTTCCTTACCCTACACTGAACCAAAACCCACCATAGAAATCCGACTGCAGGACTGAGGCTCCTGGGGGAAGGGTTGGGGACACAGAAGCAGGGGGCTCAGTGGTCAGTGTAAAGGGCTGTGCGTGAATAGAGGAGGGTGTGGTGTGGTCAAATACCTGAAGGAGTGTGAAGCTGCTCCTCCAAGGCCTCTACCATGCTGCTACTTCAATAAAAACATAAATAAAATTTCAAAATAGATACAAAGTAGCATTGGAGGATAAAGGATGAATTTGGTTTCATCTTGGAGACTTAAAGGAGAAAAGAAGTTACCATGAGCAGCATTTTGGCAGCTAAGGGGGTAAAAAGAGAAGCCAGGTAGAGGGATATAAGAAATACAACTTGTTTGAGCCTTGGATCTTTCCAGTCCTCCAGGCTAACCTGTCTCTCTCCCACTCCAGCTGACTGCCTCTCAGCTGACCTCCCCAGGGACCGCCAGGCCGCAAGAGCTGGAGCCCTCTCCAGGGACCTCACCGCAATAGAAAGCCAGGAGCAAGCAACCTGACGCTTGTCGAATGAAGACTGGCTGAAACTCTCCAGCCAATCTCCAGTTCCAATCACATGAACGTAGGGGTTTTGTTCTTTGGAAGTAGGGATTAAGGGACTGAGGCTTCACCTAAACTTATACCCAATCCTAAAATTGCAGGGGGCAAAGGCAAATCATTCCAAGGGAACTCCCTTTTTCCTCTCTGAAACCCTTAATCCACTCACTTGAGGCCTGAAAGCCTGCGGTTCGGAAAGCTCTAACAGCATGAACACAGGCAGAGCCGTCCCAAGCCTTTCCAGAATGGCGCTCGACAACATTCCCAGAGGGACCCACGAGCTAGGACTCTGAAATCCTCAATGCAAATCAGACTCAGCGTAAAGAATCCTGAATTCTCAGCCACCAGCAGCAATACTCTGATCTAAAACCAGTCCTCCTAATGACTGGGTGCCCACTATTCTTTCCATACCCCCATACCCCATCACTCCCAGTCCTACCAAAACACATCTCAGATAACATGGCATCTCCTGGAGAACCCCAAAAGCTCGAAGAACTGCTTTTCCTCCAAGTTTACATTCCTGTCTTTTTTTTAATTTAAATTTTATATTTTATATTCCCCTAAGCCCTCCTTTCCCCACCCCCTACCAGCAATAGAGTGTCTCTGGTTCACAGTTGTTTGTCGATTTTGATATTTTCTTTCTTATAGTTATTCTTTTTCCTGGTCCCTTATTAAAGTTTTCTAGATTCCTGCTATGAGTGAGACCATCCGGTATACATTCCTGTCTTAAAGTGTTCACAAATTCAAATGGTGAGTCATAAATCTTGGTAATACATCTTTTATACATGGCCATGTAATTTTTTCTTTTATGTGTAAAATTAAGCCATTTCTTCATTGCTTTAGATTATGGCACTATTAGGATGTCCTCTTGGTTAAAGATCCTTTTCCAACAAAAATGAGGCACGTTGGTGAGGAGTGCAGGCGTTACCTAAGACTACGGAATACTGTATTTAGGCTGAGAATAAAATAATCATGTTCAATTTTAGTTAAGACAGATATGCATAAACCCAGACTACTTCCTCTCTAGTTTTCTGCATGTACATCCTACTTCCTTTAATTTTTCAATTCAGCTTGAATGATAAAAATACAGAGAAAAAGCAACAGAATCAGCCATCAATCAAATCTGTGCTAGCTTCAGAGCAGACTGTATCACGGGGATTCACTACTTTAGTACAATCACTTCTCAATTATTGCTTACAATATTTAATTATAATGTATTCTTATACAAATGATGAAATCTCCTGGTCTTCAGTTTCTTACTCTGAAAAATGAAGATACTACAAATACCTATTGCAGAGTCAGTGTGAAGTTTAATTGAGACAATTTGTGTCAGGCACTGCGTGCTCAGGAACTATTTGCTCTCATTAGGATGGGTTTTATTAACTATTGAGCATTGTACAATGTGCCAGGGGTCATCTATTAATTTATTTATTACTTTTAAACTTGCTTCTTTCCTTAGGATATGCACTTTCAGCTAGCACAGACTGTGTTAGCTCCACATAAGAAAACAAATAAATTAGATGAAAAGTCAACTTCCAAGCAAATACTTTATTTTATATATTATATTTTATATACTGCATATCTAGTACATACTTTATATACTATTTAATGTATCACTATTTAATTTATCAATGAACAGCGGTGACTAAATCCACATAAACATCACAACAGCTGCATTGTGGAAAGGAATGACACCCTTACCTACCCTCTCCTTTGAAGAGAAGGATAAATACCTAGCTTCCCACTTATTGTGGAGGGCTGAGCAACACCTTCCGTGGTAACTATTTCTGTGCGTAATAAATATCTAAAGTGGTTTATTATTGTCACTAATTTAATTCTTCACACTGTAGGCTAAGCCAATCTCCTTATATTCTGGCCTTAATACTTACTGAGAACAAACCAAGAAATAGAGAAAGCTGTGAGGGGAAAAAAAAAAAAAACCTACTTGCTATCACATCCTCATGCCACAGTGAGTTGATTGGTGATTTGATAAGTATAGATTACAACCCTGGATTTGATACGGGTGGCCTACTTTTAAAATGACCCATTTATAACAATAAAACAGAGGTCTCTCTGTTGGAACTATCAAAAGACTGGGGGAAAAAATGTTAGCAGCATCAAACACTTTTATTTAAGCAGACATTGTAAAGCAATGGGATAGCAAAACTGGAGGCCTGCATCTCAGCCAATTCTATTAATTGTGTGAGTGTCAACAAGTCAATAAGAGTTCCTGATTCTCATACTGTCTGTCTCTATAAAGAAATCAACACCTGCTCTCAAACTACCCCAGAAAAGTCCTAGAGAATAAGGCACACCACATAACAAACGATGCTAGAAGCTTCTCAGGGGAAAAAAAGACAATGTTTTACATGTGAAAAATGCACAAATTATTCGTATTTCAGATGAAAGGTTAGTGAAGGAGATTTAAGTTTCGGCACACTAAACTCCCCTTGAATGCTTACAAGTTTCAAACAGAACACTCACCACAATAGAAAGGGGAAAGATCACCTACCCCATGTTCCCATCCATCAGAAGAATCGTGTTGTAGATGTGAGAAAAGATGAAGAGGAAGAGAATTGTGCTGAAGAACATTGTCATCCAGGACCCGTGGTCCTCTCGAAACATTTTTAACCGGAGCAATTTTCCTGCAATATAAACATCATTAAACAACATTAAAATCAATGTTTATTGTTTTTTAGAAAAACACAACAAAACCAAACAAAAATAAACAGACAACTATAAATCAGAGACATTCTGCAGGGGAGGGGGAGGCAGAGGGACTGAGAGGAGGTGAGAGGAGCACAAGGGACTATGGTGATGGTGCACAGGTGAACTGGTGGTAGAAATTCTATGGGGACTACACCTGAGAAAAGAAAGAAAACACTATAAAAAAATGATGAAAAATGAACAATGATGTAAAATATATACAAATAAATAAATAAAAATAAATAAAATAAAATATCTTCTTGTACATGAAAAAAATCAATGTTTATTGTAACTCACAAGTCACACTCTGCTTTTGCTTTTTCAAAATTATTTTATATATTTTTTTACATCATTCTTCATTTTTATACAATGTATGCTTTCTTATCTTGGTTTTAGTCCCCATGAAAATCCCACAACCAATTCACCCGTGCACCACTCTGCTTTTGTAGAGAATCTCTGTTATGTCACTCTATTCTGACATCCTGGCCAGAGGAAAACCCCAGGGCTGAAACCACTCTCTAATTTCCCTTTTTTTCTTTTGTAAATAAATGATAATGGATGATGCCCCCTACAACACCCATAAGAAACCACGTAAACATGGGAATCTCATCTCCAGAGATGGCTTATTGTGCTGGCATTAATGTGAATGAATCGGAGCACTGCTGCCTGTTTTCTATTTCACAAACATGTTATTCATTCATACAAAAACCACTTAAGGCAATGGCGAAGAAGTTGCATGAATATATATACTTTGACCTGAGAATTATCTCTCTAGCAACTGCCAGGAGCACTCATACACAGTAAGTTATGAACACAGGACAGTTATATCTTTTAAGATTTAACTACTAAGCTTAACCTGGTGCCTAGCACTTTAGATTGCACTTGGAAACCAACACTAACAAAAATACTGTTCCAGCTGAAACTTTAAACAGAGCCAAAAAGGGAGATTTTTGACCTTGTCCTGTCTCTCGGCTTGCACAAGAGAAAGCAAAGGGTAAATGTGAAAATTGGGCAGAGGGGAGATGTGAAAATATAAATAGAAGGGAACGTGGAAAACTTTATAATGAAACAAGTGATACTAGCACTTCAAATGAGAGCCTTATAGAACTAGCCAACCATCTGAATCATTAATTATGGAAAGCAGGGATTTTTAAAAAACGGTTTATTTATGCATACAATAGCTGGGGTATAGTCCAGGGGTGTGGAGAGGTGAGAGGATTCACCAGAGACAGAGTGGGGAGCAGAACAGGCGGATCTACTGAAATACACTGCTGACAGGAGCAGCAGGCGAGATAGGAGAGGTCTGCTGTGCCTTATGTGGGTCAGCTCCCTTGCCCACAATGGCTGGTGATAGCTTGAAAGTGCTGAGACTTAACCCCCGAGCCACCAGGGAGGCCTGGAAAACAGAGATTTGCAAATTTCCATATACTTATTATAAGTATGTCATAAATATATTCATCTATTTACATAGGTTATAAATAGAAAGATTAATAATAGGTAATATAGGGCCTCCCTGGTGGCCTAGGGGTTAAGTCTCAGCACTATCACCTCTACAGCCTGAGTTCAATCGCTGGCCAGGGAGCTGCCCCACATGGTGCAGCAGACCTCTCCTGTCACGCCCACTGCTCCCCTCAGCAGTGTATTTCATTTAATCTGCCTGTTCTGCTCCTTACTCTTTTTGTGGTGAATCCTCTACCCCCCACCCATACTTCTAGCCTACACCACAGTTCTTTAACACAAAAATAAGTTAAATTTTAGAAAATTACTATTCATTAAGTCATTTGCTCAAAATGAGAACAGGATGCAAGAATAACAGTTATCTAAAATGTTAAGGCTACTAATGAGCGAGTTTTAAATCTAGGACTACTTTGGGTTCAGTGACCCACACTACACCTGGACAGATTGCATATGGGAGAGAGCCGGAATCTCCCACCCCAGGTCAGTGTTGTCCCCAAACTACCGGGTCTCCTGAATTCTAAACTTGGCATATCCTACTACATGCTGCAGGAAACAAACCTAACTTCAATCCTAGAAACTACTATAGATTATTCTATTAAAATCGGAATTCACAGTAAAAATTCACCAAACACAAAAAGAAATGTGACTGTGAATGAGAGTTGACAAAAACACAAACAAGACAAAACTGTAAAAGGACTTTGAATATTGGAATTATCAACAGAGAATTTTATGTCTTATACTTAAGCATCTTTCTATTATCTTAAATATATGAATTATAGTTATATTTTTAATATATCAATTAGTTATATCAGCATCTAATGTATGGCTTTGTTTGATGCATTTACTTCCTTCCCATCAGGTATCACATATTTCTGCATCTTTGCCTGCCTGATTTTTTTTTATTGATTTATAACTGACAAACAATATTAGTTTCAGGTATTAACCAGTGCTCAGATATTTTATATATGATGAAATGATTATCACAATAAGTCTAATTAATCACCACCCATAGTTAGCAAATGCCTTCCTTGCAATGAGAACTTTGAAGATCCACTCTCTTAGCAGTTTTCAAATCTGCAACAGGGTAGTAAAACTCTACTCACCGCACTGAACTTTACACTCCCAGGTACTGCTTTATAACTGGAAGAGTTCCTGTCACCCACCTTCATCCATTTCACCCACCCCTCACTCCACACCTCTGACAACAGGCAATCTGTTCTCCACATCTACAAGCCCTGTGTTTTGTTTTAGACTCCACTGTGTGCTTTAGATCATACAGTATCTATCCTTCTGAATCCTCCTGACTTATTTAATTGGCCATAAAGCCCTCAAGGTCACATGCAAATAGCATGATTTCAATCTCTGGGGTTTTTTAGTGGATACCAGACACAAGTTTTCACTTTCTTCGATGGTAGGGATTTTTTTATTTTTACAACTACTCTTGCATGTTGTTCTAAGGTGCATTTAAATTACTTGGAAATAGTTTTATCCTGATGAGCCTTGACTTACTTTTAGACTTATTATTAAGCCCAGGGTAATGCTTTCTAGGGTACTGAATACTCTACTTGATGGACCATAAATTGAAGGTCTTTCCTCTCTTCCCAGGCCACTAAGGAATTGTCCCTGCTCTTTTTGAGTGGTACTGTCCCCTGCCCTTGGGGATTTCCTCCCATGCAAGGCCTGATGGTTACTTAACTAAAGAACCAAGGCAGATCTGCAGATCTCTGGAATGACTTCTCTGTGCTCCACTTTCCTTTCCTGGACCCTCCCTGTGCACTCTAGCTGTCTTGCCTCCTCACACACCCAACACTATCTTCTCAGCTCACAGAGCCCCCAGGAGCTTCCTGACCCCTTTTTCATGCACAGAAGCTAGAAATCCTCTCCAGGAAGTCAGATGGGGTAACTGTAGGGCACACTTACATAAAAAGATAAAGAGACAGGGTTTTTTTGCACGGAAGAACCGGGGTATAGGCCAGACGTGTGGGGGTGAGAGGATTCACCACAGACAGAGTGGGGAGCAGAACAGGCTGCTGAGGAGAGCAGCGGGTGAGACAGAAGAGGTCTGCTGCGCCATGTGGGTCAGCTCCCCAGCCAGGGATCAAACTCAGGCTGTAGCAGTGATAGCTCTGAGACTCAACCCCTAGGCCACCAGGAAGGCTCAAGACAGTGATCTTGACTGTGCCGATGGCTTCTCAGACATATACATTTCAAATCTTACACAACTGTACACTTTATATGTGCAGTTCATTGTATGTCCACTATACATAAAATTGTTAGGATTAAGAACAGTGGAATTTAAGTTTATGACAAGACTAAGTCAAAAGGAACAGGTAAATGGAATTAAAAATTAAGGTTCTTTGAAAGAGTTCAGAATATTAATTAAAAGTAGATGCTAATTAGTCAATCATGTTTTAGTCTCTAGAGTAATCACTGAAAGAATAAATGTATAACTAACAAAGTAATAGAGTAGGGGAAATTAGGTATAAAAAATAATTGATTTATCCAGAGGCAAGCAAAGAGGAGGAAAAAAAAAGAACGTAGGAAAGATAAGGATAATCAAAAGCTATTATAGCAAAACGATAGACATAAACCCAAAGATATCACTAATTATGTAAGTGCACAAGTCTAAGTATTCCATCTAAAAGAAAACTGTCACAGGGCATTAAATTGAAAGAAAAATAAAAATGAGAAAGTATATCAACTATGTACCTTCATTTAAAAATCTTCTAAATGACATACTTCAAGAAAATGAACTTGACTCCAAAATAATCTCAGAAAAAAATATCTGAGACAAGAAGGAATGGGGAGAAAATAAACTAATCAAAATGTATCAAATCTAAACACTGTGTAGAATAATGTTCCTGTGGGATAAAAAAGAACTAAAATATGTAACAATCCTAAGTTAGTAAGGAAAGGTTAAGCCTAGTTAACTTGATGAGGACGGTCATCATTCGGGAGATGATTAAGACATTGCTCACTTCTTAGATTACTTAATATGCAAAGTAAAATTTCAAGGGTACCATCTGAAAGCATTGATATTGAATAAAAAACATATAAACCAAATGGAAGGGTTGAGGAGTAATAGAAAGATGAAAGGAACAAATGACCAAATTAAATCGGCTTCCTCCTCACAAAAAGTGGAAAGAAAGGAATAGAAAAGCTGTGTGAATAGAAAACACCACAAATGGTAGCAGGATTCTGCAGTTACATACAACATGTGTACATACAGTCATGTGTACCAAATAGATGGGTTCAAAATGTTTAAAGCAAAGTCTAATTGAACTATAGGGAGAAATTAAGAAATTCATTAACAGAGAGTGGTATTTTAACATCTCTTTCTTATGTATTGATAAGTCAGATGGACAAACAAAATATCAATGAAACAGAACAGTTGAATAAAACGCAATTAAAATGTGATTTAGTTAACTTGAACCCTGCATGCAACAAGTAGAAAATACATATTCTCTTCCAACATGCTTCA